CAACGATTCGTTTATAATTGTTTGCTGATGATGGTTTTCACTTTTTTGTTTTATGTATATATATATATATATATATATATCTATGACATTGACTTCAAATGACATTAGTATAAAAATGTAAAATATATTTTTTTTTTCTTTCTTTTTTTTCTTCTTCTTGTTGTTTTAATGTAATGATAGAGACACACAAAAATGTCTTACAATTATATTACTGATCAATGATTAAAGTGAAACATTCCTTTTTTTTTTTCTTTGTTATTATGCTTAAGGAACAAAATGAGTGTACATTGTTATTGTAAAATTGAAAAGAGAAAAAAACATGTATATATATATATTTGTTTGAAAAAAGTTTTCTAGTTGATAGAAAGATCAAGGTCTGAAAAATAAATTATAGGAATAAAAAGGAAAATTGATATAAATAATGGTTAGCATACGTGTGCAAGATGTAAAAGAGAATTCTCAAGTTATTAGTTTTATTCTATTTTAACATGTATACCATCTAATTATTGAAATAAATAAGAAAAAGAATATGAATTCTAAAATTTCATAATTATATTCAAATAATGAATGTTATTTCATTAAAAATACATCGATAGAAATCATCGAAAAATAGTCATTCCATTGTTATTCTTATGTTTATTTAGATATTAATTATATCGACATTTTACAAATCTGTAATTGTTGAAAGATACACGTATAGTTTAAAATGTTATTGTTCTGCACGAGAAGACTTTTTGAACTAACAAATGACATATCAAGAGACTCTTATATTCTACAAGAATATCAATCTCTGTTGATTAAAAACCGGTGTTTCTTGTTATGCAAAGAAAAAAAAAACAAAATGATAATAGATATAATAATTAATCCTTTTTTCTTCATGATAAAATTCATTCTAATCATCAAATGAGACGACTTCTATCGAACGATATGTCAACAATAATTCTTAATCTATTAATAAAACTTGTTCGGTAAGACAGACTCTTATCGTTCAACATGACTTTGTAGCTCGAAAAAACTTGAACTTATCGAAAACATTGAATTGGAATAGTTTAATAACATACTAAATAAAGCAAGAAAAAGTAATTGGTTCATTGACTAGTTGAGCAACTTTTAATTTCAAGAAATCCTCTTAAAACATAATATTAGATGAAAAACATTTGTCTATCGAAGCGTATGCTCCTATAGAAAGTAAATAGAATATTACTTTTTTTGAAATAAGATAGAGAAAAACGTTCAAAAATGAATGTCAATCGAAATATTATTTTCTGATAAAAAACTTTTTTTTTCATATATGATGAGCTTCCAAACAAGTATAGATCTCCATTCACCTGATATATGATAACATGCAACTTATGTTCAAAGACACATCCGATCAAAAACAAAAAGCCGATTTTGATTAAATAAATTTGAATAGAAGAAAGAAATGTGTTATGAAGTGTACTGCCGACTTTTAATATCTCCTGTCATTTCATTTTTTTTTGTATTTTGAAGATACCATATATATTAATCAAGAGACTTAAATTTTTGTATGACAGAAAATTCGTTATTATTTTGTTTTGTTGACAAATGATTTTTCTAGAAACTTTCGAAAATCTTAAAATAGATAGAACAAAAGTCTCTCATTGTTTATGTATTATCCATGGTAAGTATTGATTTTCAAATTATTGCCTTATTAATGATCTTCAGTTTTAGTTAACATATATCAACATATATGTTCATATAAGTCAGTTTTTTATTTATCCTTTTACTGGAAAAATATTATCTGTTTTTTTTATTATTAAGTTCATCTGATTTTATATAGTAGTAGATATGAACATCGACAGAGATTGTTCAAATTTCACAGATTTTGTTTTCGATTAATAAAAATATGAATAATAATCAATTTCGGAAATCATCTTATTAAATTTTTAACAATCATAATTCTCTATCTTTTTCTTCCGATACAAATCAATTATTGAATTTCATCATAAATATATGCAATCGTTCATTTCTTGTATATATAATAAACGCTAAATAAATAAAGACGATTAATGTGTACAAGTATCTAAGAAAAAAAAAAAATGTCAACTATTCATAAGTAACAATCATTACATATGTCAAAAAATAATAAATTGTAAAAAACGATTACTGAAAAAGATTAATATATATTAATTGTCAATTATAATTTTTTTTTTGACATTTTTTTATTTGTTTGTTTTTTGAATAAAAAACTCTTGAATAAATTATTTTTTGATTTCAAGGCTATAGAAAACATCATTAGTTGGTTCACTTTTATGCGGACCATCATTGTCGCTTCGTTAACATACATATAATAAATAGTTCTCGTGCCGGATGTATGTTTGTCGATGTCGTTTGTTTGAACCTTGCGGCAATAAAAACCATGAATAGGTTTTTTTTCTTCTTTTTATATTTATATACAAGACATCCTTTTCTTTGTAATCAACAGTTTTCTATATTCCTTCTTAGTCAACTTGTCAAATAGTATTTTCTTTATCACCTCATGCTATATAATAACTATATACTTGTATTTATTTCGCTTGTATGCTCATTTGATCTTACAGTTCTTTGAGTTTATGATGATCATTAATAAGTAGAAAGATAACATGAATCTTCTTTCTTTCTTTTTTTTTTCTCAATAATAGAAACTAGTAAGATGAGTCGACTAGAAAGTATGAAAGCGAACACAATAACAAATTGTATGAGCAATGCAATCAAGTAGAAAAAAAAAGACGGTGATAATAGAAAAGAGTGAGAAAAGGAGAAACCACTTCTCAAAAGAAAAAAAAAAAAGGAAATACTATCATCACATCATCACAAATAAGAATTCGATCTACATGATTGTTAGAAAGACAAAGAAGAAAGAGAACAACAAGAACAAGAACTAATAACAGTATGATATTAATATGAATAGTTTACGAGGTAATAGAAAAGAACTATTTTGTCTTTTTATTATATCATATATCTTACTATTGTTAATGTGGATGTCTAGGTGTATAATTGCACACAAGTAAGAGTGCTTAAAGGAAAATGATAGAGAATAAGAAACTAAGTCTCTTGTTATTTGCTCCTGCAATACCGGAAAGAACCACTCTCGTTCAATTCCGTTCTTTTTGTAACTACTACTGTTGTCGCTACTGCTACCGTTATAACACAGAGTTTCTCTCTCTCTCTCTCTCTCTACCATTTTTCATCACGCAAGTAAACACATAGATATCGAAATACTTGACAGTTTTTTTTTTCATGATACTCAACACTTTTTTCTCGTTCTTTCTCTTCCAAAACTCAGGCGCATAAAGTTATTGTAAGTTTAGAATTAACTGATTTCATGTTAAATTTTGTACGATTTTAAAATTTAAAAAGAGGTAAAAAAAGAACAAGTGTTTTTCTTTCATTTTAGAATATATTACCAATATTGATTAAAAGTATCAACAAATAATTCTCCAGAAATATTTAATTAACAACAAAGTTTTTCATATATTCGATTTCTTTTTTCACTTATCAATCAACCTATCTTCGACATTGCGACGCAATGTCAATGTACACCCATCAACACGAATATCAATGTATAACAAGTGTGCTTGCATTTGTGTATTCCTTGAAGAACGACGAAGATTATGACAAATAACATCATCACCGTTACTCTCTAATCATATTATTCTATTACAACTAACCTAACTATCGTCTCATATTATCGTTATCATTGGCAGTTGCTATCAACATAAAATTAAAGTCAAGCGTTGATGCAATTGTCGTCTGATGATTCTCCGTCGAGTGTTTCAACGACAAGCGTCGAGTGACGGTATGCTTGTCAATAACAATAATCATGTTTCATCGAATAATATTTATTTTCATCATGTTTATTTTTAATTTATCCTTATCCTTTTCCATATCCACTGATCCACTTATACGTTCAACAAATTCTGGTCGTGTCCGTGGTTTTGATTCATATTTTCGTACGTCTGATTCACCACGTCTTTATCATGTTCGTGCTTGGCTTGGTATTCCATTTGCTAAACCACCAATTGGTTCACGTCGTTTCAAAGCTCCAGAACGTGTTAAACCATGGTCAGGTATACTTAATACTACACATTTTCCAGCAACTTGTTGGCAAACAGAACAAATTGTTTATCATCTTGAAGCAGAAAAAATTTGGTCACCAAATACAAAATGTAATGAAGATTGTTTATATTTAAATATATGGGTACCAGTTAGTAATTCTCAATCAATACAACTAATGCCTGTACTTGTTTGGATTTATGGTGGAGCTTTTGTAACTGGCTCAAGTGCAGTAGATCTTTATGATGGAAGAATATTAGCAGCAACAAATAATGTTATTGTTGTTTCTATGCAATATCGTTTACAAAGTTTTGGATTTTTATTTCTTGATAGACCGGATGCACCTGGTAAGAGAAATTTTCAATAAAAAAAAAAAAGAAGAATTTGAATTTATTGTTCTTTTTATAGGTAATCAAGGTTTATATGATCAAGCTCTTGCTTTAGAATGGATACATCATAATATAGGTTATTTTGATGGTGATAGTCAACGGATAACTTTATTTGGTGAATCAGCTGGTGCCGTATCCATTGGTTTTCATTTATTATCACCCCGTAGTCGATCTTTATTTTCAAATGCTATTTTAGAAAGTGGAGGACCAACATGTAATTGGGCATATATAACAGCTCAAGAAGGACGTAGACGATCACATAAATATTTAAATGAATTTTATTCATTGGTAACAAAACGTTTATTAAATGAACAATATAGTAATGAACGTGAAAAAATTCCTGAAGTTTGTCAACGAGGACCAAATGTTGATGATATTGAAATAATGTTTGAATGTGCAATAAATTATCCAATTTTTGATGAAGATCATTATGCTTATATAACAAATGCTGAATATACTATTCAAGATGGTGGTCCAATGTTTTTTCTTCTTATGCCTGTTATTGATGGAACATTTCTACCTCAAAATCCGGTAGCAATGCTTAAAACAGGAAATTTTAAGGTTTAATTGTTTTTTTTTTCTCTATATTTTTTCTTTTTCTTTTCTTTTTTTAACTATATAGAAATGTCCTCTTTTATTGGGTGCAAATCGTGATGAAGGTTCATATTTTATGGTTTATGCTCAAGGAAATGAAAAAACACCAGGTAATGCTGCACCTGATGTAAATTATGCAACATTTATTAAACATCTTGAACTTTATTATAATTATATACCTTCTTATCCATATAAAACTTCACCTATTGTTATTCAATCATTAATTCAAAAATATACTGATTGGTCTGATTGGTCAGATAATATACGAAATGCTGTTATATTAAGTCATGCTGTAGGTGATGCTCATTTTACATGTCCAACTGTAACTGTTGCTAATGCTTATGCAATACAAAATATGTCAGTTTATTTTTATCATTTTGTTGCAAGACCATCAACTAGTGATTGGCATTCATGGACAGGCGTTATGCATGGGTAAGAAGAAGATAAGTTAAATTTTAAGAGAATTTTTTTTTTTTTTTATGCGCTTGATAAGAGATGAAATAATGTTTGTCTTTGGTGAACCTCTTAATGCAACTGATAGTAAATTTTATAAACATGAAGAAATTCAATTAGCTAGAAAAATAATGACTTACTGGTCAAATTTTGCTAAATATGGGTAAGAAATATATGTTATTTCATGAAGACAAAACCAATATTAAATATTTAAAAATTAGAAATCCAAATGGTAATATAAGTACAAATGTTAATGATTGGCCACTTTATTCTTATCCTGAACGTGCACATATTGTACTTGATGTTTTTAATATATCTACTGGTATTGCTCATCGTGCTGATTATTGTACATTTTGGGAACATTATGTACCTCTTTTAATAGAAAAATTTGGTAAAATTTTTGTAGCATTTTTTTTTCCATGTTACTTTAAAGATTTCTTTTTTATTTTGTTCATTTAGAGCGATGTGGTATTTATGCTCCTTCGCCACCATTACTAGATGAAAAATCTTCAACTTCATCAAGAACAAATTTATGTTTTCATATATTCTTTCTTTGTTTTATTATCCTTCGATTAAAATAATAATTGATTTAAAAGAACATAAGAAATCGCACTCACATATCATTGCTGTTTGTATTGCTTTTTGCTTTTCTCTTTTGCGCTTTAATAAATCGATATTTTATTTTTTGTGTATTATATCATTTGACTGCTACATATTTTCAATGAATGGAACAATGTTATTTCTATGAGATAGGATTACAAAAAGAGAAGTTAAACTAAAAAATCTTCTTTATGGATTATTATGCATATGAGAAATTTCAGTTTGTTTATTACTCTTAGTAAAACATCTTGAAATTATAGTAGAATAAGGAAGAAATAATGAAAAAAAAAACTATTACCTATTTCAAAGAAGAATGGACTCGTTTGTTTGTTGAATAACTTGGCAACGCTGATAGCTATTGAGCTCGGATTTTCGTCGTTAGAAAGAGCATGAATGGGGATACAAGTCTACTTGAAACGTTTTCTAGGGGATTTCAGGAATTTTTTGGAAAATCACTATCTGGTTCGCTTGATTAGTTGTATTTTCAAGTGAAATTGAAAATCCAATATCTCGAGAATGGAACACCGTTTTTGACTAAAACTTTTAGAATATTCTATGGGTCATTGAAGCCAGCTATGGGCAAATTTTCAGGGCGAAATGTCGTGATTTCATTTTTTGATAAATATCCAGGAAAGGGTCGAAAGTTCAGTAAAACTGATTATATTTTTTTAGGAAAAGGTCGAAAACTGCTAAAAATTTTTGGGATTTATAAAGTAGATATTGGGCTACAATATGGCTAAATTGAAATTGAAAATACAGCTAATCAAGCGAAGCAGCCAGTGATTTTTCAAAAAATCATTGGAATCTCCTAGAAAACTTTTCAAGTATTTTGATTCTCAGGTAAACTTGTACCTCCACTCATGTTCTTTCTAACAACGAAAATCCGAGCTCGATAGCTATCAGTGGTGCCAAGTTATTCAACAAACAACTGAGTCCATTCTTTTTTGAACCGGATAATAGATGGAACGATTCTATAACAGATGCTCTCGCGACAGTTGCTCTCCACATTCACACTGACACTAACACCAACATGCTCAACTGTCCGAGAAGCCACATTCGTGTTACCAGATGGACCGTAGGTTAAGCTTGTGGTGTAAAATTGATGCGAAGTACATTCTCAAACTGCACTCATTCTTTACAAGGTTATAAAGCTTTCGAATTAGTCGAACTGTCAAATTTAACAATAAAAAACATGTTTCTATTTGGAACTGCCAGTCTGGCAGATCTCTATTAGGTCAAGCCAAGTCAAAGTTGTTGGTCTGACTCTTACGTTTTGACAATCAAATGTTGATGCGTCGTCTTATCCTTCGGAAGTATTTTGATAAATTCATTCGATTGCAGCAAGAAATGCTTGAACTGAACGTAAATATAGTAGTGTTGTAAGACTTACATTGACTGATAGAAGAACTTATTTAGATCCTAAACAATTGGATAATAAATTTTGCGTTCGCGCTGTTGTGAAAATTAATTGTCAAATGTAAACGTTCTTGTCTGTTATGATAAGCATCGCTTATTCTCTACATATTTTCTTTTATCTCTTTGTTGTATATCTAATCATATGTTATTTCTGCTATCATGGTTACATTTTTCCGATTATGCGAAACAGAAATGATATGATCAAAAGCATATTCCGTTAATTCAAATCATTCTTGTATGAAAAAGATTTATGATGTTTGTTTCTTCGCTTTTTTTAAATTTGTTATTATCTTATCTTTATAGAAATAAATTCAGTGAACAAATAAAACTAGAATGATATATTAATACAGAGTAATATAATTAAACGTATTCGAAAAATCAGAAGTCGTCATTTTGTAAAATGAATTCAAAACGAACAGAACTTCTTATCGAAGTTTTGAAAAAAAATTAATCAAATAGAAATGGAAAAGTTTGTAACAACGTTTAAAGGAAAATCGTACGGCTCTCAAATCTTTAGATAATTGCGAGACAAAACAACGAGAAAATAAACACTCGTGGCCAACTGTTGTAATAATTATTACATCATGTCATGCTACAATAAAAAATTATATTTCTGAATGAAAACATTAATTTATCTTGAACTTTGAAATACTAGTCAATATGAAGTGATTTATTAATAACCTGAATTTTGAGCTTAGTCAGAATATTATAAATAATAACTATAGCCCTTTAGTCTTAAAAGATATTTATTATGTTGTATGTCCATGGTCATATGTATGCTGCCATCCAATTCAATTAAGCCTATTCCAAGAAGTTACAGTTTATGAACTAATATAGATTGATATTGATTTTCTGTGTCGCTATATCTTGTCTCATCTTGATTTCACTGTTAAGCATCTATTATAGTTTTATATATCTATTCCGTACTTATACACAACAGCTATAATTTACCAATAGCAATTTATTTAATCGTTCTTATTCGCTTAGTTATAAACGAAATGAATATTGATTCTGACAACAGTAATAGTAATCATGATTTTCGTTTTGATAATGATTGCAAGTGAAAGGAAGTATTGAATAAATGAATTTCATGTTTCTAAACCTTTCTATATTCTGTATAGTTTCATTGTATCCATTTGAAGAAAATATTAGTCTTATTTTTCATCTTCAAGTTTGTAAATAATCCATGAAAACCTGATGATTTCAATTTTTTTCTTAATATTAATTTGTCTGAATTGAGATTTTTATTTTTTTGAGCTCAACGGCTTGGCACACATTCATATACGCGCGCATATATTGAACAAAAAAAAAAACAATAAACGAAAAAAGAATTTATATGAAGAGAACAAAATACAAACATAGAATTGAAAAAAAAAACAAAAACAAAATTCTTTTGTACAAAGATAAGAATACAGACAACTCGTTTAGGAAGTTATATGTCATCATCAGCATCATCATCATCATCATCATCATCATCATCATCATCGTCATTAAGTATTTGATTTCGTACTGAGATTCATCTTTTATAGAAGGCAAACGGCTAGTCTAGTATTACAATAACGAATAGGCACTGTAGGAGACATGTAAAGTAATATAGGAAAAAACAACAGAAATCTGTAGTTATGCATACAATGGAAAAAAATGGGGAGGACTAGCATATAATCTTTTTTTTGATTTTTAAACACGACTAAAAAGATACATTCGAGAGAGAATAAAGATCAGAAATACTTTTTAATATATATATATATATGCGTATATTCTATATATATACTTCGCATTTTTATTAAATACATATCCGAAATATAAATAACAAGACAGAATATCTCAACTGTACACAAAAGAAAACACACACAACAATACATATTGTCATCGTTGCTCGGAAGTAAAAAAAACCAAAAGAAAAACAACGAAATTGAATACATCCAAAAAAAAAAACAAAAATACTTTTTTTTGTAATTAATATATAAAGAATAATACCAAGAGATAAACAAAAGAAAGATTTCACTCCTCATACATATTACATTTTTTTTAAAAAAAAAAATGCAAACAACGACAGACACAATTTTTTTTCTTTTTTTTTTTTCTTTTATATTTTTTAATTCATTGTGACCATCAACAGAGAATATTAATATATAATATCAAAGAGAAAAGAAGAAAACAAAAACCTAATACAAGTCACTGGAACAGATATACACTATGAAGTATCTGCGCATGTCGATTGTCAAATCGACGTTTGTTTGAAAAATAATCGGAAATATTACACAAGAGAAGAAGAAGATGCTATCTGTCGAATGAATGATGATCATGAGAAGCTAAAAGAAGAAGAAAAAAAACAATGAATATTTTTTAAATTCTTAATAATTTATGAAAATCATTAGACATTATTTTCAAATATACAAAAAAAAAAAGCTCATTCACGATTGATATGAAAAATAATCTACTTCATCTTATTTTTCAATTTGAATAAAGCTTATGTAACACATAATACAATTTAGTCTAAGTACATTAGATCATAATTTCTGTAGCTTGAACCGATATTTGATTGGTTAACTATTCATATTTGTCTAATGTTTAGTTGTAACAAAATATTTTCAAATGTTAAACGTCGTCATTAATGATTTAGGTCATCACGAACTAAGACAAACCATAAGTTCTAATAAATCTATAACAATCTATTTTAAGAGCATAAGCATGTCTAAGTACTTGGTATGTTTACAGACGATGATGTATGTTCGTATGTAATACTTCAACTCAAGATGTAAATATTACTTTATGATAAGTACTTGAATGCCGTTGTTGTGGCACGTTTAATATACATAAAATCAGAGTTTTATGACATCGGAGATGACGATAGTACCGCCTGAAGTAATTTATTGTTTTTGAACTCTTATGGTAGATATATATAGAGAGAACTTTTAGATCAGGTTAATTTCAAATGGATTCAAGATTAAATATTTTCAGAAGAAATGAATCGTTCTAATGAAAACTTTCAAAATATTCTAAAAATGATTAGATCTATTTATTGGATAGATTTCAGATTAGGAATTCTTTATTGAATTTCCTTGTCACATTTTATACTAACGAATGAGTCAAGGATTTTGAGATAACATATTTGTTTATTTTTGAGTATTATGAAAGTATTTTCGAGGAGTCAAAAACTATAAGTTATAACCAAAATTTTGTGCTCTTTTCTCATGTAGGTTTAGAAGTTTTCTTGAGATCAAAGAGATGATTTTTTGAAAGATCCAAAATATAGTGCGAACAGAAAATTTTTTCTGTACACTTTAGTACTTTCATTATTACAACTCAAAAGTAAATATTGAGACCTTAATTAATTTATCAGCTTAAAGAGAAAAAGTTACTGTACAAAATGTACTATTGGAGTTGTTTTTTCTTATTCTTGATCGAAAGACATTTTGTATAAATAGGAGCTCTTAGTAAAGTGTCTATAGTTTCCCTTAGGTGTAAAAACCACAGCTTGATTCAACATAAAATATTGTAAATAAGTGTTCGTTCGACAAAATAACCAACTCAAATATTGTTTGACACCATCAAAAAGGAATTTATAAAATTTATCAAAAGCCTACTAGTTCACCAATTCAATCTAATTTTTTGAACCTTTAAAAAAATTCCTTCACTTCTCACGAAGAAAACTGACATAATATTTCTAAGCCCATATATTCGGCAAGTGCACAATATGCTGGTTCTAATCGATAGTTTTTGAATTCTCGGAAACACATTCAACAGAGCTAAAAATATCATCATTCGGTATAAAAAGTCTATAAATCTGAATCTCTTTTCGGTAATTCTAATCTAGAGATTCTCTCTCGATATATATTCATCATATGAGCTCAACAACGATGAATGACTTCAGACGGCTGTCTGATTAGTTCGTTAAAAATCTATTCTAGTATGTTTATTCGAACTTTACCAATTAACTCAATTGAAAACAACGGAAATACTTTTCTACAAATAAAATCTTGAACAAAATATTCTAACTAAAATTCATTCTATAATTTTTTAATGATAACTATGATTTTTGTTTTTGTTTTTTGAAACTTACACATATAATTCGAATTATTATACTGTTGTTGGGATTGTAAATGTGGATGATAGGAATATTGTTGTTGATGTGTTGGATAACTATGAGTTGGATAATGATATTTCATTGGATTATGATGAAAATGTGTTGGTGTTGTTGTTGAATGTGGATTCATAAATGGATTAGGAAAAGGAAAATTAAAAAATGGTGTTGTTCTTGGATCAAAATGATGATAAGGTTGTGTATATGGATCAATATGCATTGGTGATGGTTGTGATCTAGGTAAAACTTGTGTACTCCTCGATAATGAATAATATTCTCTATTGATAAATGAATTTTGTTGAGATTTTTTAATTTTTTTTGAATTTTGATAAACATCATTCGAAGTTTTTTGTTGTTGAATATTTATATCAATATCAGGTGGTGGTGTTATAAATGTATTATTATTTAATGGTTCATCATCATAATTTAATAAATGTGATAATTTTTTATTTTGATTTAATGGTGATGTTGAATTTAATTTTATTTCATTTGTTGGTGGTGTATCTTGTTTATTAGGTAGAATTGTTAAATCCTCATTTTCTCCTGGTGTTGGAGGAATTTGTGTATCTGGTGATGATGATTGTCGATGATAAAGTTGAGCTAATGATTGTTCAAAACGTGTTAGACCAGCATATTCAGTTTTTAATGAAAGTTTTGCTTCATGTTCTAATTGATCGTCAATTGAAGGTGTTGATGGTTTTTTACGTTTAGATTTTTTAATTGGTTTACGTATTTTTATTTTTGGTACTGATGGTTTTTCTTTTGAAACAGGCGGCGGAGTAAGAGAAGGAGGAGGTGGTGGTGGTGGAGATGGAGGTGGAGGTGGCGGTAATTTTGTACGAATTTTAATTTTTAATGGTGGTCGAATATTTTCCGCAAGAGGAATTGGTGAAGAAGATGATTTTCGTTTCTTTTTATGTTTTGAATAAATTGAATGAAGTTTTAATTTAACAGATGGAATTGGTGAATACTGTTCTTTTGGTTTTTTCTTTAAATTTTCTTGATAAACTTTTTGATAATGATAAAAATTTCTTTCTAAAACTTTTTTTGTTGGTTGTTCTATTTGTTCAACTAATTGATCAAGATTTTCAATAGTTAAATCTGTTAAAGGTGATGTATGACCTTGATTTTCAATAATTTCATATTGATTATTTAATGTTTCATTTAATAATTCTTCAATTTGATCATTATTTAATGTATTCGATTTATCAATCGATGAATTCATTAAACAACCTGAATCAAGAATCATTTCATCTTGTGATGATTTTATTGGAGATGGTGGATTTATTGGAGAAAGAGAATTTGTTGGAGATAATATTGGTTCAAATATGATACATGCTTTTCGAGAATTATTATCAAATAAAGTTGGAAATTCGGTTGGCGGTTGTGCTGGAGGAGGAGGAGGAGGAGGTGGTGGTGCTGCTGGTGGTGGAGGAAGGAGAGCATCATAATCAATAGTTGGTGTTGTTTCTTTAATAGGAGATGGTGAATGTGTTTGATTTATTTGTATAATTGATGTAAGATCAGTTATTGTTGGATTTTCATTAGATTTTGGTGATTCAGCAGATGAAATTATTTCATTTGGATATTTTTCTTCAAGAATAATAGATGTTTCTTGTTCATCTTTTTGTTCACATTGTTCTAATTGTTTTTGTAATAATTCTTGTTCTTGTTCAATAGGATAAAAATATTGTAAATCAACAAAAGCCGATGCAGTTTCTTCTGCACCTTGAATTTCTGTTGTTTTTATTATTTCATTTGTTGCTTCAAGTAAAGCAAAAGAAAAATCGCTTGATATTACTGTTGTATCATTCGTAGTAACAGCGGCAGCAGCAGCTTGAACATGACTTAATACATCTTGATCAGTTACAGTTACTAAATCATCAAGAATATCTTGATATTTTACTGATTCATAAGTTGCAACTTGACTTGGTTCAATATGACGGGCACTTAAATATAGAAAATAAAAATTGTTAGTGTAATTCCTTCGAGATTAATATCTTTGCTATTCTTTTACTTTACATATGTCATAAATGCAATAAGAAAGTAGTTCATATATTATAGTGAGACATTTTTACTTCAACACCCCCTTTAAGATTGTGTTTCACGAAAAAAAAATAATAATAAGCGAGTTTGATTTCGCTTGAAGACTAGAAAAATTCTGATTGTAAACGATAAAGAATTGTATGTGAAAAATAGCTTTAAAGAGAAATTTTTTGGAATAAAAAGTAGTGTTTTATCTAGCATGAAATATCAGAATGCAACATTCCATCGAAGATGGACTTAATCTTTTCGAAGGTTTATGATCATTGCATAGAGTAGAAACTATGTAATTATCTTTCCGGAGGAGAATATCCGAATAGAATATTGAGTAATTTATATGCAAAGAGGTTTTAGCATCTTTAATTCTAACATATAAATATAAGAACAGAGTTTTCTTTTATTACATAATCGAGTTTTCAATATAAGAAATATTGATATTTCCACAATGATTCATTTCCATTGAAAACTTTATTTGTACAAAGTTGAAATTCAAAGGTAATCCAAGCTGTAATAAACAATAGAATCAGTGAATGGAGAAATAGATGAAGAATTTCTACCTAAGTATTTTTTTTTACATTTCTACTAAACGGCTTGTCTACGTAGCACGACAATTTACGGATTAATTTTTTGAAAAAAAAATTTCTTTTTTTAGAGTTGGACAGATCTGAATGTATTATTAGGTACAGTTTCCAAGTTACTGTATGGTTAATAAGCTTTCGTTTTGATGTAGCAACTTGATTTTTGCGTAGAACGATTAGATATACAGAAAAGATCAATATGTATGAAAATCAAATATTTCTGAGCATGTTAAGTGTCTCGGAACTGGTCGAAAAAAAAACCTGTGTAACAGCGTTACGTTTGTCTTTTGGCATTTTTTGATCTGAACAAAAATAGTTTTTACTGTTTAAAAGCCCGTTTGATGCTCTACAAAACTTGCTCTAGAAGTATTTCATTTGGAGAAATACTTTCGCAAGAAATTGGAGTTTTATTAGCAGCATTGAGAAAACGAGTCTTTTTATGTAACAATGTTACACGATGATAAAACCTTCCTAGAAGTCTGAGACTTCAACCGAAAAATCTCATTCTTATAGCATAAAAAGAGTATCATAAGCTGTGTCGAATGATGTTTGAACGAACTTTCTAGCTCTCAAATCTTCTGAGATAATTGTAAAAAGTATGTCAAAAACGTAACAGTGTTACGTTTGGACAATCCGTAAAACAAACTTTATTGCTTATTGACAGCTTTCTTATTTCTTCTATGGTAAATAGATTTAAGTAACAGCTGCTAGCTTGTTTTTAGAAAGTATTTCTCCTTGACTTTGTCAAGAAGTGATTCATTGCTTTTTTCTTTGGAAGATATTGTTCAGTCATCAGAACTAAGACATATGGTTAAACACGATATTCAAATGCCTATAACTCAAGAAGAAATACTTATCTATTGAGATAAGATTCTCTTATTAGAATTCTTTCTTATATAATCATTGAGCAATCAAATGACAATCAGAGCGATAACGAAAAGGATATCTTCAATTTGAATTTGTCATTCTTTCACATCTCATTTACCGACAATATGAAAAGTAATAAATAAAAATCGAATATAGAACATTAGAAAAAATAAAAATAAAAACTTTTGTCTAACTCTACAAATAACTTCCATTTAAAATTTAAAAAACTTACGTTAATTGAACACCTTCTTCTGGTAAACATCTAGACGTATTATTATTATTATTATTATTATTATTATTATTATTATTAAATGTATTATTATTTGATGATTGTTGTTGTAAGCCCAATGGAACAACAGTTGTAAAAATATTATTATTAATTAATGATGAACCTGGATAAACTGGAGGTGGTAATGATAATGAATTTGATTGTTCCGTTGAATTATTTAAATGATGATTATTTGTTAAAAGACTAGTAAAAATATTTTGTTCTGAAGGTACATTTAATTTAATTCCTGCATCATCTAAATCAAATTGTTTTAAAAATGTATTTTCATCAAAATTCATTTCAGCAAAATGCATATCTTCTTCATTCATAAATGATGTTATTTGTTCATTATCAACATTATAATCATGTATTGTTTGACTTGTTTCATTATCAAGTCGATCATTAAATTCATCAAGTGTTGGCATTGATTGATATGGATCATTTCGTTGTATTGTTGTATTAATAATTTGTCGTACATCAATATTATCTAATGTTCGAATAATATTTACATTTGTTGATGAATCATTTGAAAGAATATTTGTTGTTGGTGGTGGTTGTGTTAAAAAATTTGATGCTAATAATTCTTGATCAAAATTTTGCATTAAACCAGATATTGATTCAGCAAAAGAATTTGTTGGTGATGAATTTTGTTGAATTATACTTTCACCATGATAATCAATAAATGTTTTTGAATTTGTTTTTTTATTTGTTATTGAACGTTTATTTGTTGTTACAATACGTTGAACATTAATTGGTGCTGGTGCTAATGGTCGACCGGGATTTGGAGCAATAGGTATTAATGTTGAATTATTTGATGGAACAACTACAGATGATGATGTAGAAGTTTTTTTACGATTACGTATAGAAGTTTTATTAGGTTTTTTTGTTGTTGTTGTTGTTGTAGTTGTTGTTAGAAGATTATTAGTTGGTGGAACGGATAAATCCATTGATTTTGATTGAAGAAATTGAGGAGATGAATCTATATGATGTTCATCAAAAGATCTTGATGGAGAAAGTAAAGATACTGTTGAAGATGTTGTTGTATTATTAATTAATGATGGTGGTGTAAGAACATTTGTAGTTGTAGGTTTTGTTTCGTTTAAAACAACAGGAGTATAAACCTTAAATAAATAAATAAATAATATAAATCAAAATTAAAAGAACATTTAACTAATATAATATTTCATTGGATTTATCTGATAATTTAAATATGACTAATTACAAAGAGCATAAAAAAGTGAGTGAACATTTTTTTTTTTAATCAAAAGTTTTATTCTACGAATTGAATTGATATATTTAAACAACTTTCAGTGTTTTTATTCAACGTAGAAGCAATCTTACTCTGATGATCGGGCTGGCCTTTTTGGAGTTTGTGCTTCTACAGTAGTCGTAGAAACTTTCGCCACAAAATGAAAAAGTATCCAAACTGTAGTCCTTTAGTTTGATTACAAATAGATCATGTTGAACTCTGGTTGCAAAGACAAATCAGAACTTGATCAACCTTCATGTGGACGAGCTAGAAGGTCAACATAGATTTTTTTTTCTTCAGACGAGTATATCTCAAAATAGATAACAAATCTCATAACGTTAAAGTCCTCATTCGATAGCTCAGTGTTGTCTCTATCATGAATAAAAGTTTTATGTCAAGCGGTTTTAATTTGTCTGATTTATGAAATCTTCTTTGGGTAATTTCCACATGAGAGTTGATGGAAATCGTCGAAAAGTGACCCATATCTTCGATTAAAATTTAAGCATTTGCCTTGAAGTCTTCTTCTGTGAGTATCATGCTCGATTCAAGTTTTCTCTCAAAATTTCACGATCGTAGCCATCAGCAAAGAAGAGATTCATGCTGAGACGGTTCCGGACAATGAAGACTTTAAGAAAATGAAGGTTAACACATTAAAATAGTGTTTTCATTATAAATTCTTTGCATTAAGACCTATCGACTTCAAGTTGCCGCTTGTGATTAGGGTTTGTTGAGCTCTATTTGTAATCAAAATATCAATTAAAAGGATTGAAGTTGATATACTTTTTACCCAGTAACAGCACTTTTTGCAACTACTGTAGCACTACATACTATGTGTCTGTATTCCTAAAAATAGATATTCGTCCTGCCAGAATTTTACAGCATCTTTTCGGAATAGCAAACATGGCCGATATTACAACCAACGAACATATGTATAAATTTGAACAATCAAATTTTTTCTGTCATGATATTAGATTTATCATAATTAATATAACAATGACAAATGAAATTATAACGAGTATATTCATTAAGTTTGATTTTAATTCTTTCTGTAATACTTATGATTAATTGGTAATATTTGTGTACACAAGAAGTGATTAGAATTTATGAGACTATCTTGTTAGTACCGATAGAAATTTTCTTTAAAGATATAGATCATAAGACCTATCGAAAGTTGATTTTCATTTTGTATGAAAAGTATTTCTTTGATATTTGATGATAGAATATAAACTCATTTTAGATTAAATATAAGACATTATGTTTTTTTTTAAATTGAGATTATATGAAATATACCATTGACATCTTCTTTCGAAAAAAACAAACAAACGTCAAGCTCTGATTATGATTAATAATTTTTAAATTTGAGATAATATTATTTCAAATTACCTGTAAAGGATTATTCCTAGATAATGGTTTAGGACGAATAGGTCTTGGTTGTTTATGATTTAAATCATTATCAAGTAAATTTGTAGTTTCACTATTTGATGATGATGATATTTGTCTTGATATATTTTCATAATATTCATTTTTAATTTTTGGTAAAACAGATGTTGATTCTGATTGTTGTGAAATAATTGATGGTTTTGGTCTAATAGATATTTGATGTTGTTCAGATTCATTATTAAATTTCATATTTGATGTTGTTGTCGTAGTTGTTGTTGTTGTTGATGATGAAGATGTTTGAGATAAGTAAACAAGATTATTTTGTGAAGCAAAAAATGATTGTATAGAATCTAAACTAACATTATTAAAATTGACTAAATTAATTGGCTGTATTAAATTTGTATTATTTTGTACAAGTGTATTTGAATTATTTTGTACAAATGGTTGTGTTGTTGTTTGAATAACTGTATTAAAGTTAGGTGTTATATTAGATTGATTACCATGAATTATTTGACCAGAATAATTTTGTTGATTTATTGGACCATGATTATTAACATGTTGATGTGTTATTTGATTTGTTGTATTTATTGAATTTGTTGTTAATGTTATATCAGAATTATCAAATGTTATATTTGATGATTCATTTGTTTTACCATCAATTATTGTAGGTGCATCAAATAAAAGTCCTTCTGAAAATAATTCAAAAAAAAAAATTTTTTATTTTTGATTTTAAGAAAAAAAAAGAAATCATGAGAATATTTACGAGAACGGAGTAATTGTAAAAGTTTTGCATTTTCTTCTCGAAGATTTCGAACCGTATCTTCAAGATTCGGGAAATTACCTAAATTAGAGTATTTATTTTCTTTTTTTTGTTCACATGAAAGAATTTTCTTTCTACAAACCTTTTTTCTCTGGTTCAACCATTATTTGATAAAATAATAATGATAATCAAACATATGAATAGTACACTGTTCCATGACATATATTAAACAATATAAAAAATAGATCTGAAGAAGAAAAGATTAAGAATATGCGGTTTTCTTTTGTTTTTAAGAACGAAAAAGGAGAGAGCATGACGACAAAAAATGTCATCAGACATTATATAGGGACTAATGCCTCTTAAGATATTTCCTCTTTCTTGATTTCTTGATCAGGTCATAGGTAAAACATATAACAAATTGTTTGTTAATATAATATGAAGAAAAATAAAAGAAATTAAAAAAATAAATATTTTAAATAAAAATCAATTTTATTATAAGATTAATTAAAATTTTATATTGAACTTTATAGATGTCGCCATTTTAAATGGTAGTACTTGAAAATTATTGTAATAACAAGTTGTTTTTCTCTTCCTAGAAGCTGTGTGACGAGCATAAAGAGTTACTAATAGTGGTGTAAAATTGTCGAGTAAAGTATTTTGAAGGAATTTTTAATTATAGTTTCCTTTATATCTTAATGAATTATAGTTCAAGAAAAATACTAATATATCGTGTCATTCTTTAATATAAAGCTATGCTATACGTATTTGCATCAACAAATCATCGGTTTTTACTAAAAGAAATATATATCATTAGATAAATATTTGTTGTTTTTTTGAATAATATTTATTATTTTTCATTTAAACGAAATTAACTTGCCGTTTTAATTTTTTCCTTCGAATTGTAATACATACATATTTCAATGATTTCGAAAATACTCATGTTGATTCTTACCTTCAGTTAAAACTCAATTAGTTCATGATTATTTTTTTGAATTAATCAGAAATGAAATATCGTTGAACGAACGTTAAATATGATATATCAATACACTATTAACCATAGTATTAACATTTATCATAAAATCTCTTATTTGTATAAACAGCTAGAGTGAAAACTATTTGAGAACGTTACAAAATACATTACCAGTATTTAAAATTTCATGAAATCCTTCCTTCAAAGTATTCTAAAAGATGCATTTTACTTTTGTTGAATATTTGTTCTTTTGCTAAGACAACATCTGTCTAGTAGAAAGAAGACTATATTCTCATTGATTTTTGTTTACTCTGGTACGACTCAAACAATGCACACAGTCTCCAATCAGACTTCTACTCACTATTATTCGTTTAAAATAGATGTGAACTCCATAAAAATGAATATTTGCTGATTAGTTGATATGATAGTGAGAATATTATATTGATGTTTGATCAAAGCGTATAACTATCATGTTTATTGCTGCATCTAACATTTATTGACTAGATTGACCAAGATCGTCTCTGAACTAAATCCGTTATTATCCTAGTGTGTAATATCAAAATATTTTTTTTTCCTTCTTCAATCTTTATAATAAGTTGTCATGTTAGTTTCAATTATGATAAAGAGCTTATGTGTTTTAATATCTACCAATTAATAATGATAATGAAAGAGTAAAAATACTTTTCATTTCATTAAAATGAGAAAGAGTTTGTTTTCAATTGAAATAATTAAGGTACAAGGAAAGAATTACATATCGTTTTCTTACGAAAAAGATCACATATAATAATAATAATTTTCCTTGTATTGCATTTGACAACAATAGATAGAAAAATTTCATAGAGCGAAGACTTATTAAAAAAAGTAATGGAAACATATGTGAGGTATGTTCAGATTTCCAAAAAAGGAAATTATCCAAATTTCTGAAATGTCCATCAGCTCGATAACTATATAGCAGTGCAAATCAAAAGTTCTTAGACATATTGGAAATTTCAGAAATTTTAGAAATTTCTGTAATTTCAGAAATTTCTGTAAGTACATAATTGCGGAAATTTCAGAAATTTCGGAAATTACATCATTTTAGGAAGTAACGTGCAATTCAGAACACAAATGCTTGAAATTTCCGAAACTTCCGAAATTTCCTTTTTCGGAAGTCTGAACACTGCTGACATATGTAGCAAATTTCACAATAGACAATCAATCAGATATTTGGTGAAAATATGAAAGTTGGCTTGTTGATAGTTTGAATAATATAGAGTATACTTTGGCTCATGGCCAATTGAAACAAGGGAAAAAATTGATTCGACTCTCTTAATTTACTCCAAAAACCTTGGTCATAAAATAAAGATATTTTTCAGCGATCTAGGAAAAAGAGTCGCTTTTTCAGATAAAGTAGGAAGAGTAGACTAGCAAACGGTATATATTCCGAAAGTAGAGCTTTTGCTCTATTGATTAGTAACAACATATTTTTTTAAAATCTCTTTTCCATTTAAAAAAGCAAACTTTCTTTCTACACTAAAGATTTATCCAAAAAGATCTCTTCAGTAAAGTGACGTTCTATATTTTCCCGTAGATTCAATTGAAATAAAAGTCTCAAAGATAATTCTTCTCACTATGAATGTAAAAAAACATGCACAAATGCTTCTGGATAAAGACATAAGTTTTTCAAAAAAAAAATCTTCGTTTTTTAAGGTTTTGCATGATTTTCTCGGCTTAGAAACACTTTTAGAGAAAAGTAACAACAGATTCAGAAAACTTTTTTTGACAAAAATTTAGGGAATAGGTCTACGTCAGAGATTTTTCGCGAGGAAGTTTTTTTATTTTTGAGTTTCCTTTTTTTTCATCAATTAGTCTTTTCTGAGTAATAGAAACGAGTATTTTTACAGAAAATAACTCATATCCATGCGGACTGTGTTAATTGCTTATTGTAGATTCTGAAAATAGTCAATATAATGTCTACTACTTAGGACTGACCAAACGTTCTGATCACGGTGTTTAAAATTTAGTAAAATAGTTGATATCGAAAGTTTGGGGTGTGGGCGGGTGTGAGGGAATAGAAGATCCACACCGACGCCCAGACCTCACACCCATACCCACACCTCATCTGGCACCTTCTGTAAACATGAACAAGTGAAGGATCAAGGTTTCAGCTGTTTATTGGATACTCTCAGAAAAAAGACAAGGTACATTCATTTTTTGTCATTCATTTTTCCATGTAGGAAGCTATGGGTCCACAAAAAAGGTGAGCTTGGATTCGACAAAAAATAAAACTTTGGACTCGAACCTGACCCACTCGGACCCGGGTCTGGACTCGGATCTGGAAGGATCCACAATTCCCTAACCCATCCCACATCCTATTATAAACAAAGGGTTCTACTAGTACTCATGCAACAAAACTTTCGGTATTAACTATTTTATTAAATTTTACACACAGTGATCAGAACTTTTAGTCAGCCCTAAGTATGTATATTATCTATAACTAATGAAATGTATATCAATATCAAATAATAAAATAACATATATAGTAATTATTATATAATAAAATTATATAATAAAATACATATTAATAATCATAATATAGCTTTCGGATCCCAAGCCTATTATTCAAAGTTGCAACTGATAACGGTGCATGGCCAGCTCGGTGAAGGATTTCTTGCCAACTAGTAGAAATAACTTGTTTTTTACCGGTCGATCTGAATTTTTTAATAGTTTTTGCATGTTTTTTTTATCGAAAACTTGCGCATAAGAGTGGTTTTTTCATAAATCACAAATTTTTTTTTGATGTTGAAGAATATATCGGTGATGAAATATGCATCAGACTATTGTATTAAGACTAAATTCGTCACAGTATCCTTATTATATTTTCTCAACTAAATTTGATATGACATTACGTTATTAAAAAAAATTGAATAATTGTTTCATATTATAGCTTTTGATAGACTTTTTTGGATTTTGTACTTTTATAGCATATATTCCCCACAAATATAAGATGTAGAAAAGCGAATATAGTGTGGAAGACAGATTAAGTATACAGTTAATAAAAAGTGAATATCTAAAGACTAATTAAGTAAAACACAAAATTATTATGGAGCTTGTAGTGTGGGTGTGAGTGTAGGTGTCAATGATAATAGTAACACTTACACTCATATCCACATCCACACTCGTCATTTCGTGTTAGGGCATCGCGTCGATGAATAATAAGAAGAACAACTATGCAGTGACTCTAAGCAACCACCGAAGACGTCTTTTTATCAAATTCAGCTCTCTTCCCCCCATGGTGCCGTCTATGATAATGTAATAAAAATTCTAAGGAAACTCGGGTGGAGTGATGAAGCTGATGAGTATGATAGAAAAGTCTACGCCACAATTCGTGGTCTTTCATCTTCACTGAGTGCAATGCTCCACTTTAGAGCGTGTAACTGTTTCGACCGCTCCGAAACGAAATTCTAATGATTATTGACCTTTACGATACACCTTCGTTATTTTTCTCGTTATCTGTGTATTCTTATTTAATGTTGACCGCTTCTATTTATGTGTCTCTTTTATTTTATGTTTATGTAATGCTAGGGTTTATCGAATAGCCGATTCACCTCTTCACTACTCACATCAAAAGATATCAATGATGAGAGAAAAAAAATGTTATGCAGCGGAACAAGAAAAAACCGAAAAAAACAGGACCTGACGTGGATGTGGCTATTAGTATCGGCAGGCGTTGGTGTGAATATATGATTCTCGTCTTTTCATTCACTCCACATCCACATCGATACTCAAATCTAATTGGCTGAGTTTCCAGCTAGGAAAAACCTCAATGGCTGAGAGTCGAATACCGACCGCATCTGATTGACTGAAGTCTTTACATGAATAAATTTCATTGGCTAAGAGTTGCACAGAAAAAACATGCGATTGGCTGAATTTCTATCACAAAAAAAACTCCATTGGCTGACAGTTAGATAGTGAAAACATCAGATTGGCTGAACTGCGAGAACGAAAAACCTGATTAGACGAGAGATAGATCAGGAAAAAAATGTGCTCGGCTGAATTTCGAGAAGCAAAAACCTGATTGGACGAGAGATAGACTAGAAAAATTTGATTGGCTGAGCTCTCGGCACGAAAAAACCTGATTGGACGAGACCCAAATAATAAAAACATCTGATTGGTTGAGTTGTCAGCATCAAAAACCTCATTTCAGGTAGCTGCTCTAAGGTCTTGCAAAATATTTGTCTACACGTGACTTTACACGTGCTTGCAAACCAACAAACAAGCAAACATACAAACTCATTGTATCTCATATGATCTTCTCTTTAATCGAGAGAATAATTCAATCAATTCTTTCCAACAACACAAACATACTTTTTACAGTCTGTGGTTTTGAAGTCTTATTCTTTCTACGGGTTTATCGTTATCTTCGTATATGCATGATGTTATACGAGCAGCGCCATAGTTAGTAGATAAAAGCTTGTAGAAAAAACAAATTTAGTTGCTAATGATGTTGAGTCGATGGTAGCAAATTGTTTGATCAAATCGAGCGTGCTTTTATCGTCATTGTACACCGAATACCAACCTTGCGGTTCATGAGGTGGATCTCCAATAAAATCGTCGCCTTGAGTCCAAGTAGCGCCTGCCATGCGTGGTCGCCCTTCGCCTCCGTAAGCCCAAAAGTTGATGGGCACATGATACTTACGAGTGTGTTGAAGGATAGCTCGATAATATTGGTCGCGTACAGTCACAGGTGCTGTTGGCGTGTGATCATTATTGTCCCTTTGATAAAGATTTTCATTGAATTACTCACTAAGGTTTAATCTAAGATTCTCTATTGAATTAAAGTGAACCAATATTTCAGGGTGGTTATTTTTATTAGATACAACTTTTTTCGAACCTATCCAGTGATTTTTGAAGTTTTAACGATTTTACACAAATTTATCAAGAGATTTCAAGATTTTCATTCTTTTAACGAGAAATTTAATTGATTTTCATTTTATAAACCTAAAATTCGCCTAGATTTGTTGTCAAAGCGCTGAAGCACTTTTCTCAGATGCAACAGTACGATCTATTCCACTGTTTCATTACAATGAATCGATCTACCCCTATTAGAAACAACTTTGTTTCATGTTATCTTAGAGCTAAACGACTCGAAGTTTTCGAAATAAATCCATCAGGCATCCACTTAATATTGGTTCACAAACTATACTAGATGTTTTGATTGATACAGCTGCGAAAAGCCATAATACTGGCTACCTTTCTTATTTCTAGCAGTTTAATTATACTTACCTCGCAATGCCAAATTCTTCTAATACTACCGGTTTATCTTTATAAGCGGCGTGAAATTCAATATATTTTTTAGCAAAATCAATAGCAATAGGTAATGTCACAGAAGCGTTGTGTGGATCAAACACATTCCAATTTTGTACCCATAAATGAAAGGTGGCATAGTCGATGCATGGACTTGCATGATCATTGGAGAAATTATTCGATGAAATACTACCTTCGACACCCGTAGTTACCAGTTGAAAAGGAGCAAGTTTTTTAAGTAAGCAAGCCGTTCGATGCACCCATGATAAGTCCAGGCGACGAGGCTCGTTAGCAAGTTCCCAAGACATCTTCAAAAGATCATAATCAAATTATTATCCATAACATATATATCTATTTAGTATCGTTTTTCAACATAGGGATGGCATATCTACTCTAATTTGTTCTCAAATCAATACAGGGGGATATATGAAGTATGTACATCATTACTATTAAATGTTAAATATAGTATTGCTTATTTACTCGTAAATAGTAATTAGATATAAAACTTTCGATTCAATAGCTCCAAGTAGTTTTAATAATTGAAATCTTTCGATCTTCATCTTTTTCTCAAGCTCAGTTGTAAACAATGAGACAGATTCCAAACATATATATTGTTTTCATACACTATCTCCTATGTTATGCTACCTGATTGCGAATTGAATTTCATACATAGTAAAATTTCTCATAGTGTGCACATCAAAGTCTGTGGAAACATTCTGTAGTGGAAAGTACTCACGTACATGAAACACCTCTCCATCATGCACAATAGACATTTTTAACGCTTACAGTTACATTATAGATGACACGTTTACTTTAATTTGTGGTCGAGTAAATACAGTAAAGTAAATCAAATATTTATTTATTTACTAGTAAATAATAAGTATTATATTCATGTACTTATTTACTATTGAAGTAATGGTAAGTGCCATCCTTATTTTAAAATCCTTATCTAGTGTGTTGAATGAACTACGCTTGGAATTAGATATAGTATTTTAGGCGGATAAAATAGAAGCATGGTAAGATATATATTGCAGTTCCCCAAGCCCATAGATATCATTTTTCAAGCGTAGAATAGAAATGATCTCGACCAACGTGATTTCATCAGCGGAGTTCATCAAAATAGAATATGTAGATAAGAGTGATGAGAATGTTATAGTGGACAACCTCAGCGAATTACGCGTAGATTGAGATGTCACCGGTTTTGACATGGTAAGTTTTTTTAGAAAGATTACAAAATGTAAAATTACCTTTTTTTTTGCTTGAAGATTCAGTTTAATAATTTTGAATTCAAAATTTAAATAGAAATCTTAAGGGATAGTAACGGGTGTTTCCTCAAAAACACATTGTTTTGTATAATAAAACTCGACAAATAGATTTAGTAGGTCACTGAAATCAAATAAAAACCTGTAAGTATAACATATAGTGCAGAATAGATTAGACCTTTCGTATTTTGAACGTTCTTCTTTGATTTGTCATTCGATCGATGCATCTTTTGGTACGAAAGATAGCACTTGAACTTCTCTACAAAACTAACCATGATTGAGTCTCACAATTGTTCCGGATATATTTGAGAAAAGATGAAAATTAACGATGTACCAATATCCGTAAAAAGAGTATGAGTGCGTCAAAGTGAGGATGAGTAGATGGAGCTATGGCCGAAGGCAAGATCAAAGCTTACATGTACAACTACACTATTGCGCCTACTGAAGCCATCCACACCTATGGTCCCATATCCATACCCTTTTATATCAACAGATACTTCGATTGAATGAAGAGTGGAAGGGAAATGTTCACAATGCAAACAGCCAAATTTAATCTGTGACATCCGTTATATTATTTCACCTGAAGTTCAGCTTTCTGGAAAAAAATATAGTTGATCGAAAAGGGCAGGAATGTATCAAGGCTCAAATCGATCACAATATGAGTCCTTATTGAGTTCAGCAGACTTAGGAAGGTTTACAAAGAATGATTACTCATTCGGATCATGTCGATTATTGGGTGTTCACTATTTTTGCAGAAAAAAATAACGCATAAACAGCAATCAAATAAGATTTATAGCTCATTGATAGGGCTTCAATAACATGTATAGTGTATCGTGCAAATATACTATATTGTGGGATGAGCCAGTTAAAAGTGATTTTATATGATGCATCTAGGGGAAAGAGGATGGGTGAGCACCCACGACACATGCTCTCACTTTCACTCACCCACTCTTTTCTGAGCGGTACGATTCTCACGTGCAAAAGGGGAGTTTCATCTTTGTTTTCGAGTTTTTCAGAATAATTTTCGAGAAGATAAGCGATATATTTGTCTCATAGAGTCTTCTGTGATTTGGTTTGATGGCGACATATTCTGTTCAGTTTCAACCGAGCCGGATCGAAACAAAATGCATAGTGTCGCTACCAAACTCAATAGTGCAGGACTCGATCATCTAACATAGGGGAAACTGATTGTTCTAGATAGAATTGTAAAACTTTGCTAACATTTTCTGCTCATCAACCAATAATTGATAGGCACCGACAAAAGTACCGAAACTCGGATGTTTTTGTTAAGTTGTTCTTTCATCTGACTTACAATAGTTGTATCGTTCGTGTAGGCTACATTTGTATATCGATTTGTACGTGCTAATAAGAATCTAATATGGTTATCAAACAGTTCCGTGGCCTTTGTTAGTCTGTAGAATTGTGCTGAAAAGACTTCAAATTGATCGTAACTACCCGGATAGGGTATTGTTGTTGCTGTTCCATTAGCCCAGGCTACATATTGGGCAAAGCCGCCTGACCAATGCCAGAAATTGTTCAAGCACATGACAGCTCGCATCTGACGCTTACCCATTTCATACAGAAGAAAATCGAGACCATCGAGCACTTCATTATTGTATGTTCCAGGGGAAGGCTGCATGGATGGAACGATACGCCATGGTTCTGTATCGGGTCCTTCACTGCCTGCTTGCACACGCAAATTGTTCACACCGAGTGCATGTAAATGGTCGAGTTCACGCATTAGACGTTCGCGGTTGCCCCCAGTACCAAGTGATCCCAAATTAGCACCATACCAAAAATTGGTGCCCACAAAGAGATAGTCACGATCGTCCAAAGACAAGCGATTGTTTTTCACTTTAACAAACGACGATGATTCAACTACTATCACAAGGAGAGTCGAAAGAAGGAGATAGCATGTAATTGGTAACATTTCACACAAAATTGTGAATCACGATGAATATACAAGACTACGTGCTTCATAAAAAGAAGCCTGAAGGTGTGTCAATATTTGTAATGAGATATAAGACAATAAAATATTGCAAATAAAAGATGCACACCATCAAAAAAGTGGATTCTTATCGTATCTTTTACGACGGTACAATAAATTTGACTTTATTACAGCCAATGGGATTTATTTGGATATGCTTTGTACGATTATTCAAACACATATATGTTAGAAATTTTATAAAGAAATAGACTACAAATCCATTGCCATAGTAATTAATATAGAGCCTTCAATACATTAGAAGACCTCTTTCCTGGTGCAAAATAAAGCAGAAGACATTTTTGAAAAGTACTTTCTAAGAATCGATTTTTGAAAAAAATAATTTCCTCAGTTTATTGATTGTTTTTAGTATTTATATCCACAATAATATTTACGTGCAGTATGGACAATATTTTGCTTCCGTCGTCACAGCGACATATTATTTTTGAGTTAGAAAAGTCTTGCAAAATAGCTAACAGAAAAGAACAGTCTATTGAAAAATGCTGGTCTTTATTGAAAACATACTGTGGAGTGACGTCAGTGCTCTTATGCAGCATAATCTAAGAAAAAGTTCTTTAGGTCTATATACAAAAAATACTTCTTCCATGGTCATAGGGCCTGATTGGCGCAGTGCACATTCTCACGGGTCACATATGAGGAGGTCTTTCTAAAATAGGTACGTATCCGGTAAAATCGCGTTGTGTATTAATTACAAGTAACGCTCGTCATTATGACTCGCTTGACCGTCGACTGAATTTGATCTAATCATCTGTCATGTTTTGCTGGGTTCTGTTTTGTTAACTATTGCTGAACACACATACAGGCTGACTCCAAAGTCGTTTTACCGAAAAAGAATTGAATATTTCCATTACGGCTCGAGCAAATGAGCTGATTTTTTTTATCAATGATAGAGATATGTTCAAGATTTATGGGTAGTCCAAAAAGTATTGGGACACCCTTATGTCCTTTCATATTTCGTTATTTATGCGATAGGAACCAGAGATTTTTTACCAGTAGATAGTATCCACTTCCTACTACATTCCCTATAAAAATCAGCAAATAAGCCTATGATTTCGAATGACGGGAACGTTTCTCATAAAAGTATCAGATTTTTCAATATTAATACTATAGTACAAGTAAGAGAGGACGATAATTTTTTTTAAAAGTACTTTGAAAATATACCGCTAGAATGTTCGTCAAAAGCTGTACAAAAGCGAATGTTTTAAAAGATTTTTACTGCTAAACTTAAAATCAAGAGAGGAATATTATATTTGAATACTAACATTATACGTAGTCCTTGAACAAATACACACTTTCTCCGGTTTTATTGTTTAAAGCAATACGTTCAAAGAATTATAATAAAATTCGATGACATAAAGATACATTGTTTATGAATATATCAGTTTGTAGAGAATTGTTTTCTTTATCATATTCTTTAGAAAATATGGCCTTGTATTAACTTTCCTTATGAAGGTGGTTGTGTATTCATTCAAGGACTACGTATAATGTTAGTATTCAAATATAATATTCCTCTCTTGATTTTAAGTTTAGCAGTAAAAATCTTTTAAAACATTCGCTTTTGTACAGCTTTTGACGAACATTCTAGCGGTATATTTTGAAAGTACTTTTTAAAAAAATTATCGTCCTCTCTAACTTGTACTATAGTATTAATATTGAAAAATCTGATACTTTTATGAGAAACGTTCCCGTCATTCGAAATCATAGGCTTATTTGCTGATTTTTATAGGGAATGTAGTAGGAAGTGGGTACTATCTACTGATAAAAAATCTCTGGTTCCTATCGCATAAATAACAAAATACGAAAGGACATAAGGATGTCCCAATACTTTTTGGACTACCCGTATATAGGAATCGAAAATTCCGTAAGCCGATCATGTCTTGGCGGTAAAGGTTCATGGAGACGAATCGTTTTAGATGTTTGCTAGACTTAGTGAGACCTGTCGGTGGGTGTCAGATGGGATAGTTACCTCGTGACAGGACAGCCTGTTCGGAAAATTCGAAACCAAGAGGTTTTTTCGGAAATATTGTTCATAGGCACCTTGGATAGCTATGATAATCCGCATTTTTTTGAAAACTGACTATGTCAAAAGACATTCGTTTTCATTCAAAACTTTTTGAACTATCTGATGACTAATATGTCTGCCTATAGAAAACACTCTAGATCAAAACTCTGTTTTATGGATTTTTTAGAAATGCTGTGCTCTCAGTAAAAATTTTACTATAAAGACCGTAACTCTTCAGTAGGATATGATCCTGAATCTTTTTAAATTTTTCTTAGACGCACAGGAACCTATTCATAACCATGATATGCAGTCGAATGGCGTTCGACAGTGAGATATGTTCCCTCGTACAACGACATTTTGAAGCCGAACGTTCAGAATTTTTCTCAAACGTTTTTTTAAGCATAGTAAAACGACTGTGATACTTTGACTTTCACCTGTATTACACCGATGTACCTTCAAAACACTATCGGATATATTTCAGCTTAGACTAGTAGATTGTATTACTAATATTATTCTACCAAAATAAAATTTTCATTAGAACCTTTCGAGAATCTCTAATCTTTCGTAGCAATGTATTTTCAAGCATCATCGTGAAGACCGATGAACCATTGAAGAATCTACAGTGATAGTCGGATTTTTTTCATTATTCATAGGCTTTTCTGCTAAGAAAAGCTAACGATGCTGATACATCAATCATTACTGTTAGTTCTTCTTGTATTCACCGAATTCATCGTTACATCTCTAATCTTTCGCGGTGGAATTTTGTTGACAGCATTTGATTGAAAAGAAACCGATGATTATCTATAATACTCTTTTTTTCATGTAACAAAAAGATAGATTATTGATTCGATCTGTAGAGAGTATCATCATTCTTTTGCATTCAATGCAACAGAAGAAAAAAGGAAGTCTAATAATGTTGTCATTAATAAAAAAAAATATGAAGTACCAGCTGATGCATTCAAGTACATATAAAACTAGACGTGCGTTATTCTATCATGCAATAAATTATCGTATTCACCATACATTAGTCTGTAAAACGATGTTCGATCCAATAGAATCAGACGTTATATATGGTCCACTTGATGAAAGTGAAGAAGCGGTAGCTGCTGCTAATGAATTAGCAGAAAAAAATGATGATCCGGATATGCAAGTAATAATAATGAATTCTAATTTTTTTCTATGAATAAAAGAAAGAATATATATATATATATTTAGATGTCCGAACCGGTTCAAGTACAATTACTGGATGATTGTTATAATTGTTTTAATGATGGTAAAACAAAGATTGGTAAAGAATTTTTTTTAATTATTGTTTTATTTAAGTTAAAATTATTTATTTAAGATTATATTCTTGTCTATGAAGATAAACGTACAACAACTATTGATGAATTAATGATTTCATTACCATCAACAGTGAATAATGATGAAAATGAAAAATTGGCTATTGCATTACAAAAACAAAAAGATAGACATCGTTTATTTAAAAGAAGATTTCTTAGTAATTTATCTAAAATAGGTCTTTTAATGGAAACTGTACGCTTTATAATTGATATTAATTTTGAAAGCTAAACTTATTATTATATTTTTTTTTCAAAGGATGTTCGTGAAAGTGATCGAAGTTTTGTTTATTTTATTAAAATTCACATACCATGGTCGTTATTACTTAAATATGCTGAAGATTTGAATTTTCGTGTACCAATACGAGTAATTTGAATAGAAAAATAATATTTTATTTTACTTTTTCTTTTCATTTTATTTTATTTAGGCAGTTAATAATTATAATTCTACAATAACATTTGTTGATCGTTTACTTCGTCTTTTACATCTTTCACATAATCCATTTTTATCTGAAGCACCTAAACGTTATTATGATTTATTTACATCTATATTTGAAATATCAAAACAAGATCGTTTTATGGGTGATAATCATTTTCCTGTTCATTTTACAAATACACAACGAAGTTTTGCTGTACATGAAATTTTAGAAACAACACCATTTGGTCGAACAGAAAAAGGTGAAATTGGTATTGATCGTTTAATACGTGAAAGAGTTTTTCAAGCTGCTTATCCATTACATGAAGGAGATTATAGATTTGATGCAACAGAACAACAAACACCATTGAATGAAAATAATCCAAGAAGAATATTATATGATACATGGGCGCGTTATAGACTTTTTTATAAATATCAACCATTAGATTTAATTCGAGATTATTTTGGAGAAAAAGTTAGTCTTTATTTTGCTTGGCTTGGTAAGATTGAACGTTTATTTATTTTTTAAATCAAGAAATTTATTAGGACTTTATACAACTTGGCTTTTGCCAGCGTCATTAGTGGGTGTATTTGTCTTTTGTTTTGGTTTTATTTATTTATCTAATAATATACCTGCTCAAGATGTTTGCACGATTGGACAGAATATTACAATGTGTCCAATTTGTGATGCGGTAAACAATATTAAAGATAGTTTCCTAGGAAATATGAATGAGATGAATATATTCAGTAGTGTATGTTAAATAAATGATGGATATCTATTGAAATTAATTGAAATTAGAAAAGTGTTTTTTTTTTATTAAATCTACTGATTTTCCTGTGAAATAGTTTTCAGGTCGATGTCATATCGAATCAACAGTACATAAAGATAAAAAGTTAATTAATATTGATTAGTTTTATCGTAAGATTTTTGTAACAGTGAAGATGTCAGATAATGACCTCTTCCAAGAATATGTGATCTCTC